TCTAAGCCCGCCATGATGTCCTTCGACCTAGCCCTCGTCCTCACTCCGCCTGGAGGGGGATTTGTTTCCCTTCCACGTAGAGTCTCCTCTTGGGTGCCAGTCACATCTGATAGCTCCGCCATAGCTTCCTCCACACAAGGTGTGACGCCTCACGACCTTAGCTCTGATACCAACTGTCACGGACTTGAACCTTTTCAAGCTCCCGTGCGGCCTTAGACACTTTCAAGCCCCCTTGAAGCGCTAAGTCAGCCTACCCGAGTGTGCTAGCTTAGTGAAGACTAAGGTTAGACAAGTGTTTTGCTTACTTGGGTGTGTAGGAAGAGGTTAGGCAAGTGAGCAAGAGAGTTTGGGAATGTATAGAACTTGTATTACTTGAGAGGAGAGATTACAACTTGGTTGCTTGGTGAGGAGCAAATGAACTCCCACCTCCTATTTATAGGCCTTTGGCCTTACAAGAACATTCTAGATGTGTACAAATATGTGGCCTAGATTTAGTATCTAGAATCCTCCAGAAATATCTACACAACTCTAGAACTATCTACTATGTACAAGACAAGTCTAGAAAATTCTAAAGAATTCTATACAACTCTAGACAAATCTAGAAAAGGCTAGACAACTCCACACTAATCTAGAGAATTCTGGAAAGTTCCATACTTGTGTAGAGAAGTCTAGAAAGCTCCAGTCCATGCAGGCTCCATGTCATCGTCTGCTGGGCGTCTGCGTGGCGCCTGCGTGGCATAGCCTCTTGGTTGCGGGATGTGACATAAAGCTAAAAAAAGAAGCCTATGAAAGGACTTTTATGTGTCCGGAAGAGGACTTAGTTTGTCCAAATCAAATTCCAACGGGATTCTGCAACAGATTGGCATCAGTTTGAATTAAATAAAAAAAAATTAAGGAAAAAGGGTTATTTTAGTAAGAAAAGTAGACAACTCAGTTAAAAGGAATTCTATAAATTGAGAGGGTTGTGCTCTATTCGAGACATCCACCACCAGACCAAAATAAGCACATCAATTTCAAATGACTAAGCTATTTGTGCAAACCTAATCTCAGCTATTTGTTTCTTTTGTTGTTGCAGCCTCCAATGGCTATTTCCATTTTAATCACATACTTTTGGTATTCTAAACAATTCCTTATGGAATTTGTTTCACTCCATTCAATATATCCATTACCTATTCTGACATTTAATTCCTCGTTCCATTTTATTTCAAGTCAAGCAGTTTCCATTCTAAACAACTTTCTTTGTGCAATTTATTTTATAATTTATGTTATTGCACGTTATTTAATTTCTTTGGCATTACAATTTTTTTCTTTTGACACTTAAAAGTTTGTTAAAAGTCCTTGCAGCAAGGTAAAAATAACCTAGCTGGAAGTTCTTATTATTTTTTATTTTACAAAATCACCTGAATCTGTCATCAAATAGAGGGATAGTTGATGTTCATCCATTTAAATTTAATATAATTTCTAGCACGCTCGCAATCTCAATCGACCCTTGTGAGCCAATTAACGAGCCAACAATATCATTATGTTATAATCCTAATCTTATTATTTTTTATTTTACAAAATCACTTGAATCTGTCATCAAATAGAGGGATAGTTGATGTTCATCCATTTAAATTTAATATAAATTCTAGCACGCTCGCAATCTCAATCGACCCTTGTGAGCCAATTAACGAGCCAACAATATCATTATGTTATAATTCTAATGATACATATATTAAATGGTAATAAAAAAGGGTTAACTTTAGTTACACCCATGTATTTTGTCCAATCTTTAAGGAGACCCTCTTACATGTGCAAAAATTCGTTAGACTCCTTACTTCAGACACCCATCAATAACGGTCAAAGCTGGTCAGGGATGCTTTTTGCTGACATGAGCAAAAAATTAAATTTTAATGTCCAAATTATCCCTCAACGGCTATGTTTGGTTACAAACTATGTACCATCTTTGAATCAAGTTATACTAATAAATTAAAAAATTAAATTTTAATTTCCAAATTTTAAGATTTTGTTTGTAATTTCAAAAGGGAGGAACCAGTAATTTCTTCTCATGAAGAAGAAGATCTTGTTTGTTTAAACGCCACTAAGATCAGAGTATCCAAAAGCTACAATAAATATGATTTTGCAAACTTTCTAAAATAAAAATATCAAAAAAGAGAAAATTAATTCATATCAGGGCTGATAAGGAATTTTGCAAACTTACTAAAATAAAAATATCAAAAAAGAGAAAATTAATTCATATTAGTGCTGATAAGGTTAAGGCTTTTAATTTTAGATTCAAATAGTGATAGAAAATTAGGTATCAAAAGCTACAATTAATAAGATTTTGCAAACTTACTAAAATAAAAAAAAAGAGAAAAGGAGAAAATTATTTCATATTAGGCACACTGTTCTCAAGAGTCTCTCTCTCCTCCTCTGTTTTCTTTCTGGAAAACGGGAATCGGCTTTAGTGCATATGTAAATGACTGGACTCACCAAGTTGCTGCTAGCTCATAATTTTTCATTTTCAGATAATTAAAAAGAAAAAGAAAAGCAAAACTTTGTTTAATTAATTTTTATTATTATTTTTTTCTCTTCCTAGAAGAGAAAAAATTATTACTCTTAGATTTTAAAATTATATTTTTTTTAGAATAATTAAAATTTTCAATTTTAGAGAGAACTTATAAAATTCTCTTCAAAAACAGTTTTTTTTTTTTTTTTTTTTTTTTCAAAATTATTGAAAAATGTTTGTAGATGAACGGGTGAGTTTGGAAAGAGGAATTTGAATTTTAAAGAGAAAAGTAATTCCGATTAGGGCTGATAAGATTAGGGCTTTTAATTTTAGATTCAAATAGAGATAGAAAATTAGGGTTTATATGTGCAAGGCAAATGCAAAATCAGAGAGAGAGCCATAATCAGCAGCGGTGCCCCTACCACCGAAAACCCAGAAATTCTCTCTTGGGCTCTGGCTCCGGCGACGACCAATTAATGAGATTGGACTCTGTCGACAGTGAGCAGCGACGCCCCTCCCACCGAAAACCCAGAAATTTTGCAACTCTCTCTTGGGCTCTGGCTCCGGCGATGATTTGTCGACAGTGACCACCAAATGATGAAATTAGGCTACAGCCCGAGAAACCCTAACAATCCACGATGTCGGCCACCCACAGAGCCGGCCAAGGCCAGCGCTCCCGCGGCCAATTGCTCCCCTCATTCGTTTGACCTCTCCATCTTCTTCATCATCTGGGTATAGCTCATCCCCCCTTTCGTCGACTCATCTTGTTACATCCCAGAATTTGAATCTCGTCCACCTCCATACCACTTTCATGCCTTTCTCAACAAAACAAAACCAAGAAAAAGACCCGTTTTTAGAGAGAGAAAGTGGTTGGCTTGAAAGATGGTGTATATCATTTACTGCTATTTGGTTCAACAAATATAGCTAACCTTGGTGGGAGTTGTAAAAAACGTGATTTGGTTAAGTGTATATTGGAAAATGGCAAAAGGATAAATTAGTTATTATATTTATTTATTTATTTATTGTTGCCAGCCGACAATGTTAACAGGGTATGACTGAATTTTTTTAAATGTAAAAAGATCTTTTTAAAAATTAGACAAATTACAGAGTTTGTAACTGAAATTAACCCATAAAAAAACTACTAACTTATTCGGAGGGTTTTAAGAATTTGTAGTAGCATGTAATTTTCCTTTTCCAAATGGAGTAAAATAAAAGCAATAAGATAATAATAGGGTAGAAATTATACATGATCAAGTCATAACTTGCACGTTTATGAATGGGTTGAATATTAAACCATCCGATCCATCAACATCTGACTTGATGACCTGAATTTTTTTATTTCAATAAAAAATTAAATTATCAATTTTTGAAATATTTATGGCTACTTTCAATTTTATTTACCAAAATATTATAATATATTACACTAAAATATATATTTTTCCAAAATATCTCTAAATAGCATATCTATTGTTTCATACCACTAAAGTCTTGATATTGCAAAACAAATAAATCACCATCATATTTAGGTCGTTTAACTTTTGGATTTTTACCTAGGTTTGTTTGGCCGCCTTGTCTTTATTGTTTCATACCAATAAATTGAGATGCTTTCATTTCATTGCCCAATGCTCGCCGAAAGTCTCATTCTTAGGGAATCTCTGCTTTTTCTCAAGAACTTGGGTTATGTGATGTGGTGGTTGAGGGCGACTGTCAATCAGTTTTGTTTTTGAAGCCGTCAGTGGAAGGTCAACCCCTCTCTTGGGTGGGTTCTTCCCTCTCTTGGGTCTCCGGGAAGGGTAACTTGGTTGCTCGTTAGTTCGGCAAGCGTGCCCTTGTAATCGAATGCGGCAACCATGAGTGGAGCATATGCCTTAGTGGTTATTAGTTGTTCTTCTTTCTGATTGTATTTCTTTTCGTTCTTAATTCTAGTTGGTTTGCTTGGTGTTACAAAAAAAAAAAAAAAAAAAAAAATTCATTGCATTTCAACTTGTCATCAGTCATCACTGCCAAAACAGTAAAAGTAAAATAAATAGAAACGGATCAAAATTCACATGAAATACTATTTATTTCTTTGTGTAGTAAAATAAAAATAAAAAATAAAAGAAGTAACGTCAATGCTGCCTACTGGTCGACTTGTTTAAACTAAAAATTAAATTCTCAATTTTTGAAATATATATGGCTACTTTCATTTTTATTTACCAAAATATTATAATATATTACACTAAAATTATATTTTAGATAATTATCTCTAAATAGCATATCCATTGTTTCATACCACTAAAGTCTTGATATTGCAAAACAAATAAATCACCATCATATATTGATTAAAATCAAAATCAAAATTCACATGAACGACTTGTTTCTTTACTGGTGACTGAAAAATCATCCAAATGTTTGAAAAAAAACCACACCCAGAAAAGAAAAATCATCCAAATGGCTGACATTTCTTCACTCGTTACCGTATATATCTTGGATTCCAAGCTCCGCCAGTCTATATAGAGGGGCGGCCCCTGAGTGTATATATGCAACTCATGTATGATTGAACAAAATATGTAGATGAATATTAAAACATATATATATTCAAAATCACTGTCTTCTCTCTCTAAAGCTCTTCAGCTTTAACAATGGCAATGAAGAAACTAGAGGGCAAAGTAGCCATAATCACTGGCGGCGCCAGCGGCATCGGCGAGGAAACCGCGCGTGTTTTTGCCCATCACGGCGCACGTGCTGTTGTGATCGCCGACATCCAAGACGAGCAAGGCCACCGTGTTGCCGAGTCCATCGGCCCAAAATGCAGCTACGTCCACTGCGACGTGTCCGACGAAGACCAAGTCAAAGACATGGTGGAATCAACGGTCCAGATTCACGGCCAGCTCGACATTATGTTCAGCAACGCGGGCGTATTCAGTGCCTCCGAACAGACCCTTCTTGATCTTGATTTCTCTGAATTTGACCGTATCTTCGCCATCAACGTGCGCGGCATGGCCACTTGCGTGAAGCAGGCGGCGCGTGTGATGGTGGAGCGGCGCGTGAGAGGCAGCATCGTGTGCACGGCCAGCGTGGCGGGTAGTAAAGGTGCGAAGAGAGGGACCGATTACTTCATGTCTAAGCACGCAGTGATTGGGTTGGTCCGGTCAGCGAGCCGGCAGCTCGGGGAGAACGGAATTAGGGTGAACAGTGTGTCGCCGTACTGGGTGGCGACGCCTATGGTGTGCAAGCCGTCCGAGAAGGAGGTGGAAGATGTGGAGAAGGTTTTTGAGTCATTTACGAGCTTGAAAGGGATTGTACTGAAAGTGAAACATGTTGCTGATGCTGTGTTGTTCCTTGCCTCCGATGACTCCGCATTCATCTCCGGCCATGACCTTCTCGTCGATGGCGGGGTGTGCACAGCGGCTTCTTGGTCTTGATCGTCAGCTTTCTTGTTCAAGTGGGAGTTTGAGAATAATTAAAATAAGGGAAAATTACATTGACTTCCCACGAAGTTTCATCAATATACATGGATCTCCCTTCTTGTTTGTTAAATTACACCAACCTCCCCTATTATAGCTGTCAAGTGGATGGTGTTTATTTTTTTAAGTGAAATTACATACATGTCGTCATTATATTTATTGTAATTTATTTACGAAAGGATGAACATTGAAAAGACAAATTATCCATATGTCAAAGAGAAACAATTTAGAATGATATATATATATATATATATATATATATATATATATATGTGTGTGTGTGTGTGTGTGTGTGTGTGTGTGTGTACTTAAATATATTTGTTTGATGAAAAACAATTTGAGAGGAAAGTGAGAGGATATATTTGTTTGATTTGGTATATATATATTTGGGTTTGATTGGTGACAACAACAAGGGTATAGGAAGGCAATCCAAATAGGGTAAGAATAAATCCATTGAATTATTTATAATTGGAGGTTTAGTTGTAATAGATAAATCAATTGGATTATTTGTAATTGGAGGTTTGATTGTAGTAGATCATCTCCACCTTCCATTTATAATTAATCCAATTGCATTTGGTTACAAACGAAGTCCAAAACCAAGACACTTAGAAAATTTATTTTCCCATGGCGTTGATATTGGATGATTCTTATACTCCACTCTACATAATAAAGAATACATAAAGAATGAAGTAACTCAATGGTAAGTTTAAGAAAAAAAAAAAAAAAAAGAAAAAGAAAAAGAAAAAGAAAAAGAAAATGGCAATTGCTTATTATGTAGAGTGGAGTACAAGAATCATCCAAAGAAAATTACTTAGTGGAGAGAGGTTTTTCTTTTTGAAAGGTTGAGTGGAGAGAGCTTGCACCAATGGCTCCAATGGATTCTAGTAAATTGCAGAGAGCCCAAAAGGCTCCAATGTAATGGCAACCATGGAGGGTTTTTAAGTAATTTTACTTTAGTAAGTAAGGTTAAATTTGTCTTCATAATAATTAAAAGGGTACTTTAGTAACTTTAAACTTACATCAACAATTACTAACATTGACTGGGCAATGACCTTTAATGGCAGTTAATGGACGGGTACTCTCTGTTATGAAGATTTAAACTTGAAGGAAGGTCAATGTAATTTGTCAAATAAGAAGGGAGGTCAGTGTAACTTGACTGAACCTCAATGGAGGTCAGTGTAATTTACCTTTAAAATAATATGTTTCTAAATGTGTTTGGTTTAACAAATGAAATGAGTGACAATTTTAAATTTGATAATACTACCGTTAGTTTTTGGTTAATGGGATTATACAAATCTTGAGGCAAAGCAAATAAATAAATAACAGGCTCCAGATTTGTGGAGGAAACAAAACCCAGCACTCTGTAAACGGAACCACCATAGGAGAAAATAGCAAACTAGAGAGACCGAAAGGTCTGGCCATTAGCACGACAACCGCTCCAAAGCTATAACCACAAGGCGCTCCGACACACAAAATCCCGCACAAGATCCAATTAAGGAGAAAATGATCAAATATAAGCGGGGAAAAACCCAAAACCGGCCTAGATCAGAGTTCTAACCGGAGAAAAGCAACAGATTTGCCCATGTGAGTCAAAAACAAAACAAACAAGAGCAGATCTAGCCGAACAAAAACAAAAACAAAAAAAGCGTAAAAAAAAAAACCCATGGAACCCACTTATTCAAACACACCGAGTTTTATTGCAACCGTGGACGGTAGCTAACAGCTCCCCACTCCCATGGAAGGGAGCAGGGAGCTCAGAAGGAAGATGAGAACGACTGGTTTAGAGGGAGAAAAGTAGAGAGAGGTGGGAGCGTTTGTTAATGGGATCATTGTTTTGTTATATTAGTTGGAAACAAACATATTAATATCAAGTATACTTTGTGTCAAAACTATAGTGGTATTTTGAGGCGGGTCTACGTTCATACAAAACCATTTTCAAGTGAGACAATTGATTATAATTTAAAGTGGTGAAAGTGAGCCAGGTGGAAATCAATTTGTCCCATGAAAGAATATTTAAGAAAAACTTCTATGTGGAGATATGTATGTTAAGATTGACATCTGGGCTTGGGCCTTGGTGCACCAAGGTTAGGTCCAAAAACCATCAACATAAGCCACACAACTCGTTCCAGCTTGAACTCCCTCCAAAGAAACATTCTACTCTTTTGTCCCAAATTTTTTTGAGTCACAATTATCAATGAGGATACTTAATTTGGGACAGAGAGAATATTTGTTAAAAATAATATCTTATTGGGCCTGGCATGTTGGGACCCATAAGTGGTGTTGTAAAAACTAACTTTTTAGTTGATATTCAATCACTCAATATATGTATCTATATTATTTCTAGATTGAAAATAAATTAAATAAACAAAACTTATCTACGATAATATGAATATTCAAAACATCAATATTCAATCATGCATAAAAGAGATAAGAGTGGTTCTGCAAATGTGAATAACCAAAATATACCTGTATCAACCTTAACTTAGCACCACAACAACCTTAGGCTCAAAGTGAACCTTCAAACAATCCCTTGCACCATCAAAACACGACATCAAATGGACTTCATGATCAACACAACAACAATGATCAATTCAGTGACATTTCTATAAAGATTTCAGCTTCAGATCATCATCAAGGACTTTAGAAATATTGGTTCATATGAAGCTCTCGAGATAGATTCAATGTAGGTTACAATTAGGGTTTTTTAAGAGGCTTGTTTTTGTAGAATAACTATAACAGTTAATATATACTCAAGCATCCAATTCAAATCCTATACAAGAAGGATATACACATAGCACCTGTAGCCAATCATTGGTCAGTGAATATTATGACATTCTCTGTGTGAATAGGCTATAATGCCCTTGCCAATTCAGCTATTTTGTCCTCTAGCATACTAGAAATTACAGCTCACAATATCAAGGTCGTAATAGCAGTCTTATCTAAGACTTGGTGATTAAGAAATGCAATGTAATGTATACACTCTCACTCTAGGACCAAAACAACGTGTCACACACATGAATTTCAAGTAGAAAGACTAAAATACCCTTGAAACAACCATTTTTCATTCTCAGCATCAATCAGTCGCTAAGACTGTGTAATTCACAATGCAGCTCAATTCACAACTATTCAATGCATTGCAGTTATCTGAACAAATGTGTATATATATAATACAACTGTAAAATGACCATAATACCCCTGAATAATCCTGTAGCTAATTTTCATATGTTGAACCTCAATAAAAATAGAGAATAGGTTTTTAACAAGCTAAATGGTTGCAATTTACTATCTTAAACCATTGTGACATTGTATCACAAGATGGAAAAAGACCATACTACCCCTGAGAGATAAAATAAGCCACAGTGCACAACAATGGTGATATAAGCCCTTGTTAGCTCTGAAACACCAAGTTTTGACATTAAAAAGGCAAACACAAATAAGTACTAGGACCAACAATTTCCCCCTTTTGCCTTTAATGTCAAAACCTAACTAATGAAATAAAAACGAAGTAGTGAAGTTTCAGCAACTCAACATTATAGATACCATACTCACAGACAGATAAATGTAAGCAACAAAACCTTATTCGAGGATAAAAACTATCCTTATTTCAATCATTTTCTCCCCTTTTTTGATATGGAAGGTTAAAAGGTGATAAAGACCAATAATTATAAGCTTAAGAGGGTGGTGGAACAACCCTGAAAATGTCTCTAAGGGTTATAAATCTCTAAGGAAGAACAGGTTTGGTTATTATTTCTAGAAGTTGATCTTTAGTGGGTAAATAAGTAATATCAATAAGACATTTTTGAACCTTGTTCCTAAGAAAATGATACTTGATCTCAATTTGCTTACTATTCCAATGTAGATTTGGATTCTTACTGATAGCAATGGCACTTTAGTTTTCACAATACAGCTTGGCTGGGAGGACCTTAGAATTGAAGACCAAGGTCTGTAAGAGTTGTCCTCATCCAAAGTAGTTGAGAACCAACTTAAGAGGCAACAATGTACTCAGCTTCAGAGATTGAAAGGGGCACTGTGTCTTGTTTTTTGCTTAGCCAAGAGACTATATTAGAGCTAAGAGATACAATAAACTATGAGATACAATAAACTCCCACTGATAGACCTGTAAAGGGTTAAAGGAACAGTTTTTGTGGTACACTTAAGTGTAAGCTTAGTGTTAGGGCACAAAGATGTAGAAACAACCTTGCTTTCATCCATGTTGAACTTCTTGAGTAACTCAGTAGCATACTTCTCTTGAGAAATGAATATTCCTGTTGATGATTGATGTATTTGAAGGCCTAAAAAGTATCTGAGAGTCCTTAGAAGAGACATTTCAAACCTTATCTTCATTAGATTGGCAAATTCTGAGGTTATTGATAAGTGCTGAAATATGCATTATTCAAGCCTTAATCTTCATTAATTTGTAACTTAGTTTATTTTTCCTTTCCCATTTATATCTCGATTTGTTTTATTTTCTACTTTTAGATACTAGAGATCAAACAAGGTTAATTCCAATGCTTTAAAGATTGAAAGATGCCAAGTCTTGGGAGAGCAATAGAAAAGAAGCTTAAAAGCCAAAATCAGAGACAGTCCAATCGATCGGATTGTCGGTTCGGATCCGATCGATCGGATACAACTAAAGCTAAAAAAGTAGCCTATGAAAGGAGGACTTAGTTTGTCCAAATCAAATTCCATTGGGATTATGTAACATACTGGACTTAGTTTGAATTAAATAAAAAGAAAATTAAGGAGAAAGAGATATTTTAGCAAAAAAAGTAGACAACTCAATTAAAAGTAATTCTATAAATAGAGAGGGTTGTGCTCTATTCCATACATCCACCACCACACCAAAACAAGCACATCAATTTCAAATGACTTTACGTCAATTTTATGGAAACCTAATCTCAACTATTAGTTTTTTTTTTTTTTTTTTTTTGTTGTTGAAGCCTCTAATGGCTATTTCCGTTTTAATCACATATTTTTGGTATTCTAAACAATTCCTTATGGAATTTGTTTCACTCCATTCAATATATCCATTACCTATTCTGACATTTAATTTCTCGTTCCATTTTATTTCAAGTCAAGCAGTTTCCATTCTAAACAACTTTCTTTAATTAATTTCTCTCGTTTCATTTTATTTAATTTCTTTGGCATTGCAATTTTTTCGTTTTTACACCAAGGTAAAGAGAAATTAATTGGAAGTTCTTATTATTTTCTCTTCGGCAAAATCATTTGAATTAGCCATCAAACAAAGGGATAGT